CATCAAGTCCACCAGCACATATGGTGCCATAATATATAAACAATAATAAAACAGCTGGCAATACCTTTATTGGCATTGGTCTGATAAACAAATACATATCATCATACAACTATTTCTTCCATATAATAAGATGGTCAACAAAGGACTAGCTGGCTCTTTGATATGTAAATGTAATTAATGCCCTGAAGGTGTATGATCAACTGTTGCCAGCAAGAACCACTAGAAACATCAGAACTGCTAAAAGCTGTGCCTCATAGCTGTATAATTAATAATATATTTACAACAGCCATCAAGATTCCAGAAAGCCATCTGCTCAGTTCTTGCAGAGGAGTGGCTGCATGAGGGTGCAGAATTTCTCATTTGAAACAAAGAGAACATATATTAAAGGATTACTGGACTTTATAGAGGCAGATCTGGAATTGAACGAACAGACCACTCTTCTGACCAACTGTAACAAGCTTGGGGATGACCAGTTGCAGGAACATGACCAACTGGATGCCACTGACAAGAGGACAAAATTGATATTACCAACTACAGGACAATATGACTGAGACAGTGGCCTTTTCCACTTTGAATTCTTCACAGGTTAACGGCTCCAAACTGGAGGAAGATGATGACACCACCTGTTGGTCAATGTTACAACCATGTTGGTGCAACGCTATATATGTCATCTCTGCCTTCGCCGTAGTCGGAAACTTGGTGACGCTGATGATCATTCTGAACAGTCCCAAACTGAGACAGCGACCCACTTTTGTCTTTCTTTCATTCCTGGCAGCTGCTGATTTTGGCGTCATGGTGGAGCTGTCTACTTTCTGCATTGTGGATAAACCTATTCAAAACTCTATCCAGGAACAACAGTGCGTCTTCTTTAACATTGCCAACTGGATAAATGACAGTACATTGTACTTGTCCTTTGGCTTTATTCTGCTCGTCACCATACAGCGCTTCACTATTGTCTACTTTCCCTTTTGTGGACCCAAATTTTTCAGTCAAAAAAGATCAATTCATATAAGTGTGTTGACGGTAGTTATTATATTCCTGTGTAACCTATACGTATGTTGGATCAAAACGACAGATACTGATGGGCTTAAGTGTAACGACAACAGCCTAATGTTTAACATACGGATGTATACATTTTTTGCGATCACATCATCAACATGGATTATTATGCTGATGCTATGCATCGCCATTATGCATAGACTGCATAGGCATCATATCAACCATAACATACTTCTACGGTCTGGGCATCAGTCTAGAGGATCCCGCGCAACGCTCGACCACTATAATCGGACACACATAATGCTAATGACCAACGTTGTTGCCTTTATTGTGCTACAGGGACCTGTATTTATTATCGACTTTTTGGAAATAGTTTCAACATTTTCTCTCGCCATCCCTGATACCATACGCGAGGTGATATTCCTGATCAGCAAACTCAACCACTGTGTGAATTTTCTGCTATATGTTTTGACTTGCAAGGAGTTTCGCAGTGAGATTACCAAGTTTTCTGTAGAGTGTAAACACAAGAGACAAAAAAATAAAACCAAGGAGTCTTATTGCGACACTGCAGTCAACCTACCATCGAAAAGAGCTATGAAGGAACTACAAAATTTCAAGTCAACAGTTGCTAATGTATAAAACAGGTGCCATTTTGGAGTAGCGCCATAGCTCTGCAGTTACAAAGTCCATACTGAATGATTGGCCAAAAATGTTATAGAAACACGTTCATAAATAATAGTATTATAACTGAAAACAGTCCCACAGACACAACCAAATGTCAAATTTTATTTTTTCATAAGTAAATATATAACACTTTAGAATAATTAAGCTGATACATTTATGAACAAATTGTTTATATTGAATGGCAAACGAAAGGCAGAAGATTTATTAATCTGCAGACATAAAGAGGAAAATGGCCAAATATTAGAACAAATGTCATCAAAAATGTAATAAACAATTGTACAAATGTGAGGAAATCTTAATCCTGTTTTATATTGGCATTCTGTATAGGCAATAGGTTTGATTTTAAAGAAAAGAATTTCAGAGTATGCCATATAGATGTAGGTGAATAAAAGAGGATGAATTATAAAGAGGTTCATTTATGTTAAATTCATTCATTTATAAAAAAAGTAAAGATATATATCCTTATCATGCCTTTGTAATAGTTATCATTACACTGACTGTACCTCTAGAAAAACTGCAGCTGTAGCTTTAACTGTGAAACAAATAAATAATAGCATGTTATAGTACTAATACATTTAGGAACTAGAAGTTTAGCAATCTTAAAAATCTGCTTAAAGTATATAAATGATAACAAGGATCTTAATTCTAATTCTCATTTAAAGCGAAAAATTTATTTTAAGAAATTTACATAGTATTATCATGCAGTCTTGTGTCAAGAAACCAATCTTTCAAAACTATATATAGATCTTTTCTCAACACAAGGATCTATGCCTTAAAAGCAAAACATTGCTTCCTTCTACGAATAATGAATAAAATATAATTATAAATTGTCCACGCATTACATTTTCTGAAAGTGTGTTGCACAATCTTACGCCCCATTTCCATAGATTAGATCGACCTACTTTAGATCGACCTAACTCCCTGGGGGTTCACGCTAAATAGCTGTCACCCGTGCGGACACGAAAGTTAATTATCCTCTTACAGCTTGTAGTAGGCGGGACAGACATTTAAGTCGGATTATCTGAAAGTAATCTAGTGAGACTCCCCGCGGGGATAGATCGATCTAAAATCTATGGGAATAGAGCCTTATTGCAGGCACAACAGCCATAGTTTTTAGAGCTTTAAAATATTTTGTACTTGTGGTTTTATCAATCACCATGCATCACCTATATCAGAACTCTTAACACCTGGAAAAAAAAAGATTACAAAACTACCTCAAAATACTCCCGAAGTATGATTCAAGATTACACCAGACTGTGAAAACTTGTAATTGTACTAATGGTTTTTCTGACTGCTGGAGGCCAAAACTTCTTACCAAAAGGTTCTTAACATCAGCATTTTGCTCGCAATGGGTGTCTTGGCAACAACTTAAATTTTTATGATGACATAACAAATACAAATAAGGTAATGTCTGTAATCAACCTGATCTCTTTGCAGTCATACCAATATTTAGGTGTTATATTTCAAGTCAAAAATTTTAATCAAATATATTTGTTAAGACAGCCCACATAGCATAACAATGTGCAGAGTCTGGATATAAATTGAATTGTACAAAATACTGTATGAAAAAAAAACATTTTCAGTTATCTGTCCAGAATTTGTAAGATGGAAGAGAAAGCAAAATTCAACTCTATATCTTAATTGCTTAGTTTTGTTATTCCATAAATCTTTATCTTAAACCAAAAATCTGTCTCAAAAATCAACCTCACACACATACACACACAAAAAAAAGTAGAAAGTCTGAAGAAAGCAATTTCCCTAAAACCCAAACATTCCACCTGAAACCTGAAGTGTGTCTTTCACAATTTCTGTAGCACTGCTTTCTAAGAATTAATAACTTACAAGTTGCAAAACAGAGAAAATGGGTCAAAGTACCTCCACAGCTTCACATCAATGCTATTTAATAACTTTCTCAATCCAAGTTAAAATCAAAAACCTTTATTTGGTTTCCTTAACATCTTGTGAAGAAGAGCCTCAACTCTTTCTTGTGAAAATCTTAAATTACTAATGCACCAAGAATACACAGGCATTTAGAAATAAGAGCAAACAGCATTAGACACAGTAACCAACTTGACTTTTGAGTGCTTATTACAAAATTCTCCATTTTACATCAGCACCTTGTTTTTTATCCGTTCTGATTTTCCTTCATTACCTAGTGTGTATTTCTAACTCTTATGCATTATATTTTATTTAGTGTTGGCATTCTTAACAAATTTGGCAGCCTTCCTGACAAACAGTATAAGGACCAAGAGGCAAAGAGTCAAATCAATCTGCTACTCTGATTCAGGACACGTTTGTTGTAATAAATGTGCTCATAATCACTGTGAGAGCAAAAACCATACTTTTGATGAATGTTAAGGTCAAAACTGGAGGGCAACAAGCCACTTACTACGACAACTTGCCATTTGGATTTCCACAATCAATTTGCACATTTTGATAAATTTCCTGAAAAGTGCACACTATACCCTTCATTCTGATAGGCACATACAAGTCTACACGGGCATCCAATTAAAGCCACTTACTATGATATCTTGTAATGTGTGATATCTTGTAATTAAATTAATGACATGATTGCTATTTGCTTTAAGCATCTTAGGCCCAATTTCCATAGACACCATCAGTTTATGTAAGTCGCTTGAACTTTGTGGATACTCTTGCTGAATACAATCAGTTTAACAGATTAACAAGCCAGTTTAACAGATACAGAAAAGCCGGTGATTATACCATATTACACTGAACAAGAGGAGGAGTGTCATTCGGTTAAGCTGACTGTACTCAGCAAAAGTCCCTCCAGAGTTGGATTTATCTACACAGACCTATGGTGTCTATGGGAAAGGGGTCTTGCACACTATGTTTTGTAGTTATATAAAAGGAATGTACAGATATCCCATTAACATCCTGAATAATCTAACACACCATTGGGTGACCACCACATATGAGAGAGAGAGAGAGAGAGAGAGAGAGAGAGAGAGAGAGAGAAAGAGAGAGAGAGAGAGTGTATCAGTTCCATTGTGTTAGGTGTGACACAATACCTGCAGCAGTTGTTCCTGATGGTATGAGTAGGACTGATTGTGCTAGGTGAGAACAGACTGTTAGCCAGACAGCAGCAGTGATTGCTTTTAGTATTATCAAAGTCAAAGTATTGATTTGTTTGCATTGCAGTGTGCCATCTATCTTCTTTTTTTATCTGGCTTAATTTTACAACATTCCCCGCATCAAACAACTTTGCTGGAATCAATAAATCAATGAACACCAGGAAAGTCACACAATATACTCACTCATAATTATACAGAGCACACACATAACAAAATACCCACTTGTTTTGGGCAGCTGCTCTTCCTTCCAATTTATGGGAGACGTCCTGGGGTTTCTCAAACCCGGCCAGATTGGTTCCTGACAGGTCCAGGGAGGTCAAGTGGGGTAGTTTCTTGACCAGGGTGCCCAGGCACTTCACCATATCATCTGCATACATCACGGGATTCTCCTCACACTGGGACAGATCAAGGTGCCTGAAAATGTGGGATACATTGACTTCATGGGCTCATTTCCATTGGAACTATAGGTCTATGTAGATCGATCCAACTTCCTTGGACTCTCGCTGCATGCAATCAGTTAACAGATTACTGATTAGCTAACAGGCCCCCTTTTGGCATTGAGTAGAATTTAGAAGAGCCACAAAGTGGTTACTAGATTAAGTACAGAAGTACACTGGAAAAAAAGGGGAAGCATGCCTTTCAGTTAAACTGATTGTATTCAGCAAGAGTCATAATGGATTTGGGTTGATCTATGCTGACTGACAGCTCCTCATGCCTACAAAGAAAGGGATTAAAACTTCCTATTAATCTGACATTTTATTCCACAATTTTAAGATTAATTTTTTTTTGCTACCTGGGTAATATTTTCCACATCAAACATTTTTCACTTACATTTTGACAAAATTCACTTCATCATCGAGCAGCTCTGATTTAATCAGCATTCATTGACTTTTCACTTCAAATTCATTGTTTGAAAGATTTTTTTATGACACCACCTCACTGTTGGTACCAGTTGCAAGCTAAGTTACTTACCTCAACTTTGTCAGCTGCCCTATATTCTCAAATGCCCCTTTAAGGTTATCAATAGGAACACTGTACAGAATCAGGGCCAACAACTCCGTCAAGTTTGTCAAACAATCCATCAGCTCTACACAGATATGACAATGCGACAAATCCAGGTGGCGCAGCTGTTTGAAAGGCGCCAAAATGGTGGCAATCATGTCGTGGCTCCCTGACATCTTAAGACCATGAAGGCTGAACGCTTTCATCTCTACGCAGTCAAATATGTAATCTTTACCATATCCCGAGGGTGACGAAGAGGACTCCGATTCTGATTCTGAAAAAGAATTGTCTGTCTCCATGTTAGGCACATCTCCTACAGAATGAACATCACCAGAATGCCCCATTACTTCTGCCAGTGAGTCCATTTCATCATCAAACTCGTCAGAGAGTATTCTGCATGACAGATCTATGCCGTTGAGTATCTGAACTGAGTTCCCTATATGCAGCACCTGCAGATTTTTCCCATACTTATTTATACCTTGCTCAATGACAGCACTAGTCAGGTTAGGACACCCAGATATGTCCAGTTCTACAACATCATGTTTAAGAAGCCTGGTCACTAAATCGTCCATAACCCAACTGTCTCTCAAATTTAAATGTTTTAGGTGGGTGTGTTCAGTGTTCTCAAACAAGCCAAGAAACCCATCTAAATTACTGTCGTAAGTCTCCTTTCTGTAGGCTTTCAGAAGTCCCTCGCATAATTCCAGAGGCAGGCAAATGCCATCCTTAAGAGACAAGTGATTGGTTTTTTGGTCAAGGTTACAAAGCACTCCTAAATTATTGGCGCAGTATCTCATACAGAGGCTCTGAAGAGTTTCTGGATCATTTTCAGACCATCCACCTGTCATGATGCTGCTGTTGCTAATTAAACCTCAACCTTTAAATGGGACTAATTGATAAACTTCAGCATATCTTGTATTATCTGCTCCTTTTCAATTTGAGTCCTTTAAAATGCAGCCAAACCTTCTATAATCTTTGTCATGATGCAATATATAATGCCTGTAAAAAAAAAAGAGAGACAAATTGTATGATCAGCAGGATATAAAATTTAGTGGGCAACATTTTGGCTCATATATATCTTGCATTTTGCACATTCCAAACAAGAGTTGCATTTATAATTTTGTTTCAAGGACAACTGACCCACCAGGACAGAACCATGGGATGTGATAATCTTGTCTCATCTTCTGTACACTCACAACTCAATTTCAATAAAAGAAGTGCATAAAATTTAACATAGGCCATCATTCTGTAAATTTCTGTACATGGTAAATCTAGCAATCAGGTTGGATTGTTTTTGTAAAGTACAATTTTAAAGAGTCACAGTTCCATCCATATTGCAAAATGAATACCACAGAATGCCTGACATCCAACTACAGTAACAATTGGAGAATATATTAGCCAGAACTTCAGAAGACCTAAAATAGGCCTTTTTCAAGTGTATTACTAATCTGGAATAAGTTGCAACCATCAATTTGTGTAGCTTGTATATGTATCCTACTGTTTAAGCATAAAAAGTAGTGACCATAAGCTTGTCATAATAAATATTCATAAATAAATATCAGATTTCACATTGTGAGCAAGCATACTATTAAGGCCCACATTCTGACAATAATTTTGTCAGAGTTATTCAGCTAGCCGACATTTTGCATGCAAAAGAAGATATCAATGTTTACCACATGTTTTAAAACTTCTGCAACACTCGCTGACACTGTTACAGATATCCCATGCAAATGGTTTTCGACTTTTTAAGAATAAGAGGTAAAAAAAAATTGTCAGTTTGCGAACTGCGCGTTTGCATATAGACACTGCAAAGCGCAAGCCAAGAAAAATATTGCCTCTATATAGTATACTCGATAATATCTAGTAGACACAAAGCAGACAATTATAAAACAAGTTTAATGTTATGATTACGCACCGAAAAAAATGAGGTCATTTATTTAAATGCCATTACGTTACTTGCAGGAATTGCCACTTAAATCAATAGATGGTCAGATGTGCAAAAATCCAATCGAAATATATCACAGCAGACTAGCCTCAAGTAACAGCATTACATTCCGTGTGTCATATGTACATCACAAACCACTGCTTACGTACTTCTTCACAAGTTCCCTTCCCCTGAACTCTCCGGCGACACTAGACCGGAAGTGAGACACAGTTCTCTAAAATAAATAATTGATTACCAAAACTTTTATTTTTGTTTGCTTCATTATATTAGCTTTTAAATGGACAATGTGGTACCATACATCACTATGTATTTTATATAAATTTTCCTAGTCGTAACTTGTTCAGAAAATAAAGTTATCAAACATAATTCTACTTGATCTTTTATTTAGTAGTCACCCATCACAACATCATGGCGGCCTACAGGTTAAGGTACGATCAAGAGTTTTCCACAGTTGTGTTAACATTTCTCTTTGTTATTTATATGTGTAAAGTTTTATATCGAGCTTTTAATTAATATTTTCGAATTGTAGGGTCGATGAGTTCAAGAAAATCTTGGAGGCAGACATCATCGACACTTTCAAACTTCGGCAGTTTTGTTTCAATGGTAAGGGGGAGGGGACCACTTCACTTTTCCTTTTATTTTGTTCACTGACACTAATGTGAGTAGTGATTGTCAGGATTTTCAAGGGTGTCCTCATTTGGCCTTTCTTGGCAGATATGCTCCCTTGAATGTACCCTTAAAACTTAGGTTACAGGTGATGTATTAATAAAGTTATCAGCTTTGTAAAACTGCTTATCAGTCTTGTTCTATTTAACTATTTGTATAAAGTATTTGTACAAGTTTTTAATCACACAATCACATTGAAATAGCATCTGATATGCTAGATACACAAAGCTCTTACTGCCATTGGCTGATTTTTCCTTTCTTTTAATTTTTAATTGTATATAGTAAGAGGAATCTGTTTGGTTTGATTGGCCATGCAGCTATTCTCATACATACATATACATGCCAGTACTTATTTTTAAATGCATTTAGTGTGAGATATTTTCTGTTTTTTTTTAATGTAATTATGTTTTTAATTATGTTTTAAGGATGTCCTCATGAAGATGGAATCCGGGCCACATGTTGGAAGGTATGTGATACATTGTATTTTGTTTACAAATGGACTGCCTGATGTGCATTGCTATGTGGCCAGATTATTTAACATAGACTGATAAGATTTTTTATCTATATTAGTTGTATTATTCCTGGTCTAAGCTATTCCAGTGTTAAACACATTCATACTTACAGTTTTACACATCAGTGGAATTTATTAAATGGAATTTATTAAATAACTAATCTCCACAGCCAGTAAAACAGCTATCGCTTCTCTAGCAATGTACAGTTATTAAGAACAAAATAGCCTTAGTTTTAACATAACTCAAGGAAGTAGACATTACAGTTAAATACCTGTAGCATTCTGGTCAGCCCAAGTGATCCCCAGTATTACATCTATGATAAAGCTCATCAATTGTCATATTTCCTATATTCCTTATATGACAAAGGACGTTTTTCTCTTACTTTTTGCTTTTATTTCTTTAGATTTTACTTCACTATCTCCCTCCAAACAGAAAGCAATGGCCAGAGTTACTAGAAAAACAAAGGTATGTCATTATTTCTTTGCTTGTCTGTCAGTTTTGACTGATATGATGACACAATAAGATTTGAATACAAAAGCTTTTTAAAAAGAAAATGAATAGTTTGGCTGGATCTGAGGGCTAAAAAGTGATTGAATGGCCTAATGACAATGAGCATTATGTTGTAGTGCTGCAGTTGTACTGGTATTTTAGAAGCTCTACCACATAATTACACTACAAGGAACTTTCTATAAATTTGTGTCCTGCGCGTGGTTGAGTTCATCAATTAACCATGTTGAAGAAGGCTCCGTTTACGTAGCTTTCTTCTTTAATAGCCAGGCTTTAAAGTTGTCAGTCTATCAAAATAATCTGCTAAAGCTGTACAAACACTGGGTTTCCATACCTAGATTGATCTAACAGGATCGATCCATCTCCAAAGGGTTTCTCGTTAAATTGCTTTCAGCTTAAAGGGCTTAGATGTCTGGCATGCTTACTGAAGCTGCTAAATGATAATTAATTACCCCCAAGCAGCTTCAGTAGGCATGACAGACATCTGAGCTACTTAAGTTGATTGCAATTTAGTGAGAATCCCCGTGGGGATAGATCGATCCACAGTTAGTATGATAGGGTCTGGTCTTGATGTGAAAAGGCCTAAACATAGATGTATGTACTAGTAAGGTTGCATCAGGTGGGAGAATTTTCTCACCAATCGCATTGGATTGTCAATGGCATTAGCTTTTCTGGGAAAAAAGATGACATTAGATGAGACACAAAAGATTGCATTAGATGAGACACCTTTCTTACCAATCGCATCCTGTTGCCATAACCAGCTCAATTTTGTCTAGTTTCATTAATATAGTAGCCTTTCAAGATGTGTAAAAAGTGTAAGGGTTGGTGTTATATGCTAGGAATTTAAAGCAGGAAGTATATGTGATTTGTAAATTTTTAAAATTATTATTATCAAAAAATAGTATAACTGGACAATTAAAATGAGTAATATCACTGTGTCACTAGATTATTTATTTATTTATTTATTTATTAATTTATTTATTTATTTATTTATTTATTACTGTGATTGACAACAAACTGTAAGTTATTAGTTATGTACAGTACATATGTTCAACGAGGAAAAAAATTATACTAGGAATCATTTGTCCACTAGGTTTGAACATTCTACCTGACATTGGCCCAAAGATGATTTACATGTTGTTAATTTACTAAAAAAAGGAAGATAGTTTGTTTTTTTGATGCATCATTTTGATAAAAAGTAAAATTTACTTGGTCAAAAAGAATTTTTGATAAATGGTCACAGGTTACTGAATAATCCTAAATTTTTCCCCATGATCTGTCAGGTTGCCTTTTGTTTGACTTGGAAGATGTGACACCCACGCTATTGTTCTGACTTAGGTTTTGAATGGAAGACTAGAATATTAACTGTACATTTTAAGTTAAACAATTGATTATAATGAGCCCAAATTATGGTTGCTATACCACTTGAGGATACTACTGTGATATTAGATTAGCTACTTGTTCCTAGCTGTATTAGTGTTAATGGATTCAAGAGCCAAGTCGCAGTAGTTGTGGGTATTTTTAGTTGTGTGATTAACACTTGCGTCTCTCAGGAAAGAATTATGCAGATGTATCTTTTAAAATATTTTCCATGAGGAGATGGAATACTGGGTATTAGTTGGTGGCCTATGTAGTTGAAGTTGATCGAGGAAAGATCTTTATACCAAGGATTTCCAAGTTTGAGGTTACATGGAGATAGACAGAACATTTACTTGTATGTCAATAACAGAACAGGAAAGCATAGGGAATGAGAATGTTACATGGCATGTTGAAATAAAATCCTGGATACCACAGTAAATATTGACAGTCTGTGATAGTTTGCTGTTCTTGCAATTGGTATTGAGATTGGTATTTTGTCTGGTATCTTCTTATCAAAAGCAACTTGTGGATTCAAATTGTAGTTTTTTAGCAAAGGTGTTTTATATACTAATGAAACTGAAATAATTTTTAAATCACAAATTAAGGATAAGGGAATCAAATTGCCATACAAAATCAAGTAAAGGTAAACTTTTCACATTTGTTAATATTGGATACCTCAAAGTCATATCTTCAAAGTGTACATAACCTGCAAAACTACTTATGTATTTCCTAATTCACACCTTAAAGATGATAAAACCCCTCCACAAAAAGTGTATTACCTTTTTAAAATCTACAGGTAGACATGGCAGTGTAAGTATATATATATTAGATAAGTATTAAGTCTTTTCTCAATATATATATTAGATAAGTATTAAGTCTTCATTGAGAAAAGGCATAAAAGCATGGTATAAATAGATACAGGTACAGGAATGGGTCGAGAAATGATTCATAAGTAGGAGAATTTTTTTCAGGCAAGTTCTGTTTGGTGGGATATTCCCAAATAGGATACGCTTAATGTTGAAGACGCAGATGTATTTTTGTGTGTGATACTTAAAGAAATAAGGATTTCTAGGTCATCTTTTAAGTTATTCATTAATGGCAAAGAAGAAAAATGCAGTTTTAAGTAAATTTAGAAAAATTAAGAAAAATAATTGTTTCACTGAATGTATAGAATAGCACCACTGAAACAGACTTTGGATGATGTATAATACTGTCCACGGTTTTAAAAATTTTCAACTCCAATCACGACCACTTTACCTCTGTCATTTTATTTTTCACCAGAAAAATAGCAGGTTCTTTTAACAAAAGCAGTAAATTTAATATGTAAGCTGTATTGAATGCATTTAAATATCAGAATGTATAATAAAATCAGAATAATACAGAAACCCACTGTCGTACATGCAATGGTTGTTTTCAGAGAAATCTACAGGCACTTCATAGATGAAATGATTGTCCAGCCAGGAGCAACAGCATCCAAGTCTGATCAGAGGATGGACGTTACATTTGAAGACCATGTAAGACTTGGGTTTCAGATCTGTAAAATTTCAGTTTACGTAAATGTGGTTTGTTCCCATTACTTAGAAGTATGGCATTAAAAATCTTTTATAACAAAAAGATAAAAAAGATGATTGTTTGTCTCAGACAATTATTTAATAAGCATTTTCTGCCTTTTTTGCCTTTGGGCTTGTAACTTAATTGCATTTTTGTTTGTCTGTCTGTTTATTTAGACACTTTGCATGTATGGTGTGTGTGTGTGTGTGTGTGTGTGTGTGTGTGTGTGTGTGTGTGTGTGTGTGTGTGTGTGTGTGTGTGTGTGTGCGCGCGCGCACGCGCTCAAATATACTGATTTTCTATTATCATTGTAGCCTTTGAACCCTAACCCAGACAGCCAGTGGGTAACTTACTTCAAAGACAATGAAATGTTGCTACAGATAGACAGAGACTGCAGGTAACTTATGGAAATACATATAGATATATTACATAAGATTATCTGTGGTCATTTTTGCTTTAGAATGCAAAAAAAAAGTATTTGTACAACTCTAAATGATAGAGTCTGACATGATTTACGCTATTAGTGTTCTATTCATTTATACTGAAGACAATGTCCTTTTAATGATAGTGATCAAGAGCTTAAAGTTTCTTACATAAAATGTAATGTACAGATTTCAGTGTTTATTTGTTTAAGTGAATACGAAGTTTTTAATATTATTAGTTGTGATTTTTTTCAAGGCGTCTTTGTCCAGACTTTGTTTTTTTCCAACGTGCCACAGAATATCCCTGTAAAGAGCTGACGCAGACATCGGGCGTAGAAACTTTAAGGAAACGAGTAGAGCAAACTGCACTTAAAGCTGAAACCGTGTCCAAAAATAGATTGGGAATTACATTATCCAATGTAAGTTGTTTTAACTACATTTTGGGCCTTTTTGGATTTCATATATATGTATTTTTTTTATTTATTTATTTTTTTTTTTTTTGCATGTTGGCATCAGTTCACATTTTCATGAAAACGCACACAAACTCAGACACACAAATGCTTTTTAATCACTAGATTGACAAGAAACTTAATCTCTCTGGTGTTTCTGTACATTATTTTTTTAAGCTATTTTAGCAGCAATAATAATACATATATTATCATAAGCAGATGTTTTTAAGGGTATGTTATAAAACATTAGAATATGTTATTAAGGATGTAAGATTTCTGCTAATCCCTGTGTCAAGACTCAGCTAGTGAGGTGCAGTTTTGATATTAAGATCATGAAGAGTTTAAAGCTCTAAGAGCTGTTAATTGGGGTATTTGTTAAATAGCTACCCTAGGCCAGGAACTTCCAGCTTTACACCTAATTTGTTATATGCGTGTGTTAATTGGCCGTTTCCACCTTATTACCTACCAGTAGGAGTTAATTTTGAAATGCGGAGCACTGTAGAATTAGATCTAGTGATTTATAGACTGATCATCCAGTTGATCAGTCTGTCAGTTTGTTGGTCAAAATATCCTGGAAGTCAGTAACAATTATTTTCCTGTATTTTCTGTTTGTTCCTCTTTCAACCTTGCCACTAAGATGTGTTTTAGATAAAGTATAAAAAAGCCTCTGGCTTAGAAAAAATTTTTAATATGATCATCATCAATAGAGCCTGAAGAGAACTTTATGTAAGACACTCCTTTTTTATGTACAGACACAGATGTGTCTGTACATATTGCCATCACCTGCGTCTGTCGTCGCCGTCGCCGATGCCGATGCCGTCGCCGGCGCCGTGCACTTTCCTTGTAAACACGATAAGTGGAAGGCAGTTTCACTTTTTGGCTTTATATTTACAGAGCTGATGAATATTCATAAAACGCAGGTCAAGTTCGAAAATCAGCATGATCGGGCCATTATTGTAGAAGTTATGCTGTTTTTTCACTTTTCAGCATATATGCAACCTTGTAAACACATTTCAAGGAAAACCGTTAGGCCTGTTGTCATGAAACTCACAGGAGTAATCAATCTTACTAAAACGCAGGTCAAGTTCGAAAATC